AACCATCGCGCCACTCGGCCGGCCCACTATCTATTCTTTTTAAATGACCCGCCTCCCAGCGTGGGCAGGCCCTGGAGGCCCTTTGATCTGGCTTTGGGTTTCCTGAAGTGAACCCCCATCCCGCAGTCTGTGCTCCCTCCTTTCCCCGACCCCCAATCAGTTCTCAGTTTGGAACCTGCTGCCGCTGCCCCGGGAGCCTGGTGGGAGGCTTGGTGGCCCGGGTGCCCTTTGGGCTCACTCCTTAGGGTGAGCCTGTGGGTGCCAGGGCCCAAGCGAGAGGGCAGGAGGGGAGCCTGCTGTTCAGCCTCACAGCAGCCTTTTTACAAATTTTCATAAACCTGAAATAACTTCACCTGGAAGCCGTTCACTACTATTTTGACAATGAAAATGTGTTTTCAGTCAAAGCTGTTATTGGGTATGTTTGCAGACACAGCCTTTTGAGAAATCATAAAAATACTAATTATTTTATGAATCTTCCCAACATCTTTGCAAAGAACTGTCTTCTCATTACCCTCCCCTCCCCCGTTACTCAGAGGTTGAATTTCTAACCAGTCTGTCGTCGCTCCCCTGTCGGAGTTGCTGTCTGACTGACCAGACTGTGAGGTCCGCCCGCACAGGCGGTCCTGGTATCTTACCCCTCTCACGGGCTGTGCTTTGGCGTCTTCAGTGCTCAATCGGAGAAGCACAGCCGTCCACAAGACAGAGCCACCTCCCTAGTCAAACGGAAGGAGTGACAGCACTTCCTGATATTTTTTTTTCCCCTGGGGACTTCAATTTGAACCAAGCATAGCACAGTGTGTTCTGTGGGCGACGGACGGTCACCCCTGTGATATGAGCACCTGGTAGTGATGGCAGAGCAGCACCCAGCAGTGGGAGATGCACGGGATGACGGGGGTGGGGGGGCAGTGTCCAGGGCCAGTCGGGCTCACAGGCAGGTCCCCAATCCACCCCAATTGCTGACCCCTCTGAAATAGGGGTGCTGGGCGAGTCCACTCCAGGGCTTGTCACAGCAGCCCAGGCAGCAAAGCTCAGTGCCTCAGGCTCAAGGGGAGGGACAGGGCTCTGCCGTGACCGGGGAGGTCAGGGGCGTGTGTGTGTGGTGTGTGTGTGTGAGTGTGAGAGTGTGTGTGTGAGACAGTGTGTGTGTGTGAGTGTGAGAGTGTGTGTGTGTGTGTGAGAGAGAGAGAGTGTGTGTGTGTGTGAGAGTGCGTCTGTGTGTGTGTGTGTTTTGGGTGTGTGTGTGTGTGTGTGTGTGTGTGTGTGTGTGAGTGTGTGTGTGTTTCGGGGGTGTAAATGCAGAAGCTGGGCAGGTGCTCCAAAGATGGCCGTGTCTTTGTTCACTACCTCTCTTAGGCCTGAGTATAATCTTTCTTTCATTTTAACAACAAAACACACATCATGTGCCAAAGATGTCTGTTACACGGCCGGCGATGGGCGGTAATTTCTGACTCTTAAACTTGTTATGCCCACTAACCATCCCCTCCTTTTGCACAGGTGTTACTTTAAGACCAAAGCAGATTGAATTAGCTTTGTGTCTTTGCGGCAATTTCTGATGCTCCTAATGAAAGCTGGCAATCCCTTCCCCACGCCTGTTTTTCCCCATGACCATCGGGACGTGCGGGGGTGAAGTTCTAGGCGGATCCGCTGCGTTCACGGACAAGCAGTGGGCTTGACCGTGGGTCTTTGCATGATGCCAACTGTGCGTCCTTGTCCATTCCAGCCCCAGCCCCCAAAAGGCAAAAATGCGACCACTGGACTTCATGCCCCCCGAACACCTATGCCTACCGGCTGCTCAGCGGAGGTGGCAGGAACAAGTATGCCAAAATCTGCTTTGAAGACAAGCTGTAAGTACCAGTGTGAACAGGGAAGCGGCCACCCCACTTGATTCTTTCCCTTCTCTGAGGCTAACCAGCAGCTAGTCTGCCCGCAGCCGAGAAGGGCATGTTTTTTACCTCAGGCAAAGGGGGTGGGCGGGTGCTGAGACTGCCACCTGTGCTCCTTGGGGAGGATGTGCCCTATCTCCCGTGGTTTCATGAGTCCCCTTAAATAAGTGGCATAGCCCTCCCAAAGTTATAGGAACACCAAAACTCAGCGGACACAGGTTTTCTTCCGTTTTGTTGTACGTTCCCCCAGGATTAAAGCAGCTGTCGTGCCCCTTTGCAGCCCGTACCTCCGTGTTGCAGGTCTGCGTTGACTGCCTTACCCGTGAGAGACTCAATCAGGCCTGCACTTGGAGTTCTCCTGGCCTGCTGTATCTGTCCGTGGGGCTGCCCTGATAAAAAGCACAGGCTGGTCGGCTTAAACCGCAGATACTCATTCTCTCCCAGTGTGGAGGCTGGAAGGCCGAGATTGAGGTGTCCACGGGGTTGGTTCCTCCTGCGGCCCTCTGCCCTTGGCTTGTAGGCGGCCGTCTTCTCCCTGTGTCTTCGCGTCGTCTCCCTGTGTGTGTGTGTGTCTGTGCCCAGATTTCTTCCTTTAATAAGGACACCAGTCCAATCGGATTAGGACTTATTCTAAAGACCGTATTTTAACTCTATCGCCTCTTTAAAGGCCCTACCTCCAGATAAGGTCACATGCTGGTTAGGGTTTCAAGTTTGGAATCTTAAGGGAGCACAGCTACCCACTGCGCCTAGCTAAGGATGCTCAGGTGACTCCAAATCAGAGGCAAGGCAGGGCTGCTCCTGACACTGAGGGGAGAGCCTGTCCCCACCGCCTTCCTGAACCACTCATCACACTGTCGTCTGGGTTTGATCAGAAGCCAGCATTTCCATTTCAGCGGTTGTCAAAAGAAGATTCCAAGTTTTTTGGTTTTTGTTGTGTGTGTGTGTTTTTTTAATGTTTTTTTTTCTTTTTTTTAAAAGATTTTATGGGGGAATTGGGGGAAGGATAACAGACAAGTTGCTGTTGTTTTGTTCTTTAGTCTAGTTGTGGAGGATGTTGCTTCACTGGCCCAAGTTGGCACCATCATTGTGCTCTTCCCAGGCGAGTCACATCAGTCGCCGGCTTCTGGACGGCCGCTCATGCTGGCTGCCGGCTACACACGGTAGCCCATGGCAACCCACTGCAGCAGGGGCTGCAGCCTACACCGTCACCAGCGACTCACGGCAGCCCAGCTCCAGGTTGAGCTGTTGTTCAGCATCTTAGCTGTAGAGGGCAGTGTCACTGGCCCTCA